CATGCAACTATTTGTCTTTGTTAATACAATAAAGTATACGTGTCCAATACGAGTTAGTCTTCCCACACACAAAAAAACATGGATTTGTCTTGGAAGTTGAATGGGTGGGAAGCAACTGAATTTGAGATTAGGGGCACGGTTATCCATAACCTGTTGACATAGTTGGCGTCAAACACAAGATATTATCAAATTCTAGTGTGCAGAAGATCTTTTTATCTTGGTGGAATGTCATTCGAGAGAAATTGCAAGTTAATGTTCAATCCATTGAGTAGCAATACGAAAAATTTAGCACTTCTGCGATCTTTATTCTGGACTAATGAAGAATATTGTATTGTTGATCCAACATACTTAATTTTTGTTTTTTAAGTTTAAGTAAAGACTAAATAAATCGCCATATAGGCAGAAGCACATATATAGTTTTGTCACAAGCATTGAGGAAACACAATGCAGAATAACTTGAGGATAAATACTTCAGTATTTATCTACTAAAATCGAGGCAATATGTCCGAGACATTAAATATCCGTCAATAATGCAAGAGATGTTAAAGTGGTTATTTGGCACACATATTTTTTTCAAGGGAAATCCCAAGAGGAATTACTATTATTGTAAGCATTGAAGCTTAACTAAAATGTAGATCTGAAGCATTATTTATTAAAGGAATACAGTTCGGATTTTGTAATGTGCATGTTAAGACAATGTGTGGATTGTTGTGGCATGCGTGATAATTTGCAATCATATAGTAGCAATACCAAAAAAAATTAGCAATGCATTTGCAATGTTTATTATGGGGCGCAAACAAAGATATCGTGTCGTTCTTTTTTTTTGCAAAAAACACCTAGATCTATTATAAAAGTTTACTAGAACTACAAAACACTTCAAACATAATAAAAATCATATCGAGATCGCTACCTCAACTAGAACGAGCCACCAACATGCTGCATTGCTGGTATTGTTTGACCTCCGTATTTGTAAATTGTGGAAGTAAGGACACAAAAATGGATACACATACTAATGTATTTATAGTTCTTTAACAAATAGTGGACGAATATAATGCAAAATCTAGATAGATAAATATTTAGTAGGTAGATGTTAATGTTGAAAATGATATATCCCATATTTTTAGGTATCACCTATATTAATAAAATGATATGTTTTTACGGAAAAATTTACTATCTACTCATCATTTGTCATGGCAGTATAATGAACACCAGAAATAATAAAAACCACAGCCAGATTCGTAGACAACCTAGCGACGACTACAACCACTTGAGCGAGCCAAAAGCGTGGCGCCACCATCGCCCTCCCTCATCGGAGCTGGACAAAACTTGTTGTAGTAGATAGTTGAGAAGTAATCGTGCTAACGCCCCATAGGATCAACGCACCAGAACAACAACCGTCAATGATGAAGAGAAGCGTAGATAGAAAAGATCAAACTTGTAGACATATGAATGAACACGAAAGAAAAATGGATCCTCGGAGATCCATCGAAGACCAATACTGACCGAATACCACATGATTCATCGGAGACACACCTCCACACACCCTCCAACGGTAGTAGACGCACCACAAGGACGAGGGCAATGCAGGGAGTAGCCTATGCCATCTTCAGGGAGCCACCGCTGCCACACCTTCTTGAACAGGACACAAACCCTTATCGGCCTTGAAAAAACATGTAAACATGAAGTAGGAACCCTCCCACCGGCAAGGGCCGAGGTCCTCCACGCCTCCATGGACCTAAGGCAACATGAGATGAGGCAGACTGGCGGCGGTGCTGATGAGAGGTCGAGAAACCCTAGCCATCTGTGAACTCATTTGTTAGTTAACTTATTATCAATATAGAAAGAAATAAATACCATAGTTTAACTGTTGATAGCTCCGAAGACAGGTACGAGGATAAACACTGAGGGCAAGACATCATATGCTAAAATAACAGTTTGACGCATAAATGTTTCTATAGGAAAATTAAAAACTATTACATTTAGTAGTGAAAGTTGTGAATCTTGCAGAAACATGTTAGATTTTGGTACCAAAATAATCTAATATGGATAATACAAATGAGCAATTTGGATTTTTTTTATTGCATACATTACGACATATCAGTTTGCAGGCCTACATTTGAGAGAAAGTACAAGTTACTCTATTTTGACAACTATTAGCAATATATTTTTCCATACTTACGTTAAGGGTGCACACACAAAATGATATGGATATGCATCATTTATCCAGTATATAAAGAAATTGTTCTTGAATAGGTAGCAAGCCATGAAAAATGCTAAAAATGGATAAAAATGATGATAGTATGAAACTATACAAAGAGAATAGCATATACGAATTTTAAGAAGAAATTATTTAGGTTACTCATGGAACTGATACATATAATTAGTACTACAACTTCAGATGAACTTTTGGATTTTTGTAACTAAAGAGTAATATTTTTTTTACAAAAATAAAATCTATAGAATACAACTAATCTGTACAACAAGACAATTTGCGTGCATAGTTTACGACGAGGTAGGTCACTGAACTATCCTAAAAGACAAATAGCAGGTTAGTATGCAATTCTAGTTGTTCCAACATTACAATTTTATTCACCCCACCATGCTAACAGTTCCAATGAATAGGTGGACCTGTATCGCCCATCCTACATATAAGCTATACATAATTTATATGTTGAAGTAAACAAAAAATTGGTCAGATGTGAATACATAGACAAATAGTTTGGTCACAAATACATAGTTGTTATAGTACGAATAATCTCATAAACACATTTTTAGTTGGTTATTCATGAAAATTGAAACCACATATATCTCACTTCGGCCACTCAAGCGTTCCACCACATATATCTCACCGAGCTTTGCCGCGTCTGGGGAGGAATTGGGGACACTAAAATAACATGGGTTGTGTTTCTAGAAAAATGGCATGGGTTCTGGTGGTTAAACCCGGGTGATGTGTCAGTTTGGTCAAAACCGTGTCCACCTCAGATGAAAACCCCCCGAAGTGGTATACGGGACTAAACTAATCTGGTTTGAGAAGTTGAGGGACTAAGTTTTGCTGATTTTGGAAGTCAGGGAGCATGTCTATATTTTTGTAATAGTTGAGGGACAAAAAAGTTATACTTTTCCCATATTTAATTCAAAGTAGTAGTTTAACTATATGCATTGCACTAGAGAAAATCATAGATTTTTCTACCACTATCTAAAGCTTTAGTTTACTTGTAACATTCCTAAATCAAAGGCCAACGATGTTAATTGTTTAATGCGAACTGCTTTGTGGGGGGTTTGTTAATACAAACCACAAACATGATTGATTGATCAGGTACCCTGTAGATCCACACGACCGTGTATGGCTCCCTAAGAGTGATGCAAAAATGTGGAGCAGCATATCAACTACGGAGACGGTGCAGAGTGATGGCGATGTCTTCGAGGTACCATCGATGGTGATGCAGACGGCAGTCACGCCGCTAAATGCCGCCATGAACCTCGAGATCATTTGGAGCCCCAACCCTCAGCCCCAGAACCAGTCCCTAGGATATCTCATCATCATGCATTTCTCCGAGCTGCAATTGCTTCCTAGCAACGCCGAGCGCCAGTTCTACATCAGCATTAACGACATGCAGTTACCCGAACCTGTTAGCCCACACTACCTTGGCACGGGCTTCGTGTCCAATGGAAATGCACGTTACCGAGACAACAAGTACAACATCTCCATGTACGCCACCGCCAACTCGACGCTACCACCTGTAATCAGTGCCGTCGAGTTTTTCTCCGTCATCTCCGCCACCAACATTGCCACTGACTCCCAGGATGGTACGTTCCTATGCAAATAACTGACATGTAGCTTATGATTAATTCTTTAGGCACACAGGTCGAGCACGCATGCTAATCAAAACATGTTGTGATTAACAATTAACTGCAGTATCTGCCATCATGGCGATCAAAGCGAATTATGAGATGCAGAAGAATTGGATGGGTGACCCATGTGTTCCAAAGACTATGGTCTGGGAAAGGCTGACATGCAGCTACACCAGTGACAACTCTCCAAGGATAATAAGCATGTAAGAATTGATTATTCATATATCTATATGGAACAATGGTCCGTTTTTGAAGAGAATGCGTTGTCTGGTCTGTTAATAAAGCAGGAAGTGCAAAATTATTGGAGATATATATAGCAGGTTACATAACTACCAAGTCTAGTGGATCTGATACACTCGATATTTGCACTTTGCAGAAATCTTTCCTCTAGTGGCCTCAATGGTGATATATCCTCTTCTTTCACGAATTTCAAGGCCGTCCAGTACTTGTACGTGAATGGTTTTGGACCTATTTTGGTGACATTTTAGTTGCTGCTTGTACCAAAAAAGATTAGTGAACAGATCTTGTTTTTTTATGTTTCAGGGATTTGTCAAACAATAACTTGACAGGCTCAATACCAGGCGCCCTTTCGCAATTGACATCATTGACAATTTTGTAAGTAGGCCGACTTATCTTTTAGTCTATTTTTTGCGACCTCATGTTAAATATTTGAGTCATGTATACAGTACTAGTAATTTGTATTTATAGAGATTTGTCAGGCAACCACCTCAATGGATCAATCTCACCTGAGCTCCTCAAAAGGACTCAAGATGGCAGCCTGAATCTAAGGTACCCCCTCCCACCCCACCAATTCCAATTCCAATTCTATGTAACTCGAGTAATTAATTACTATTTGTCATTAATAATCTCCAATTCCTTTTCTGGTAGACATGGCAACAACCCAGACATTTGCACTGACGGCAATTCATGCCAGCCTACTAAAACGAAGAACAAGTTGGCCATCTACGGTGTTATCCTTATAGCTGTCATTGTGGTGCTGGTATTAGTGGCAGTAGCGCTCTTTTTCTTTCTAAGACAAAGAAATCCAGGTGAGGATTTAGCATCAGCGCATCAACTATCTGATATGCTTCCCCATCCTTGAATAGTCCTAATGTTTGTCATTACATTTTGCCGCATGTGAAGAATCTATGAACAACTCCGTCAAGTCACATAAAGAAATGAAAAACGATGGGCATAGGACAGAAAAGGATGGCTATGGGAACAGTCCACTTGGATTGGAGACTCGTCAATTCACCTACATCGAACTTGAGAGAATAACCAACAACTTCCGACGAGTGCTTGGCAAGGGAGGGTTTGGTAATGTCTACGAAGGCTCACTAGAGGATGGTACACAAGTAGCGGTGAAGATTCGGTCAAAGTCCTCCAATCAAGGTGACAAGGAATTCCTCACGGAGGTAGAATTTACATAACTGCACTCCCGTTTCTCTGTGTTTCTTGCTTCGCTATATTTTACAAGTCTTGAAACTTCGCCATAATCATGCTGTCGGAACACGAACACTAGTAAAATTTCAAATTATAAAGAAAATATTTTACCATTGTTCCTCTAAAATTATTAATAAAGTAAGTTTCTAGGCATGCATTAGTATCAGGAAATTGTGAAAATAAATTTGTGAAGTATTTTTCGGGTCACTTGTGTAGGTTCAAATTTTAACCCTCATACATCACAAGAATCTTGTCTCCATGATTGGATACTGCAAGGATGGAGAGCACATGGCACTTGTGTACGAGTTCATGTCAGAGGGGACCCTAGAAGAGCACATTTCAGGTACACAAGTTGCTTGCTCGTATGTATGTATGTATGTATGTATGTATGTATGTATGTATGTATGTATGCATGCATGCATGCATGCATGTATGTATGTATGTATGTATGTATGTATGTATGTATGTATATTAGGTTGATGTAGAGACTTCAGGTAATAAAAAAATCAGTTTAAAAATGTATTCTACGATTGCAAGGTGATCGGTGCATTTTAACGTGCTCTTTTCAAACCAACAATATTTAACTATTACTAATCTATATGGTGAACTGAATAAGTAGTCTGAAATTCACAATGTCGGATCATTTGCAGGAAAAGGCAACAATGCGGTATGCTTAGCCTGGAGACAGAGACTCCGAATTGCAGTTGAATCCGCTCAAGGTATGTGCTTGAAAGCAGACTTTTCACCTCTACCTTTTGTTGATAAATGTTTATATTTTTCAATCTTGACTGCTGGTGTGCAGGGCTGGAGTACCTACACAAGGGGTGCAATCCACCTTTGGTTCACAGGGATGTTAAGGCCACAAACATCCTGCTGAATGCCAAATTAGAGGCTAAGATTGCTGATTTCGGCCTGTCCAAGGCTTTTCATCACAATGATGACACACATGTTTCCACAAACAGAATCGTTGGTACACCAGGATATGTGGATCCAGAGTATGTTCCCTCTCCCTCTGATTTGAAGTCTTTGTGTAGCATGCCATGATCTGCGTATGTATTAGGTAAACTTGAAATGTTTGTGCAGCTACCAGACAACATGGCGGGCCACGAGCAAGAGTGACGTGTACAGCTTTGGCATCGTGTTGCTTGTGCTTGTCACTGGGAAGCCACCCATCTTGCGCACCCCACATACCATCAGCATCATCGAGTGGGTGCAACAACGGCTAGCACAGGGAAACATCGAGGGTGTGGTGGATGTGCGGATCCATGGTGATCATGACATAAATAGTATGTGGAAAGCCGCTGTTATTGCGCTGAAGTGCACCACTGAGGCATTGGCAGAACGCCCCACCATGACCGATGTCGTTGCTCAACTTCAAGAGTGCCTCAATCTAGAGGAGGAATTGGCTGACGGTGGGTCTGACAGCGGCATCTACAACGGCATCAATAGCGATGACATAAACTGGACAGATGATGCTTACTCTACAAACAAGTCTACAAACTCAAGTCAGAGAGATGCACTTGAGACAGAGCATAATTTTGACAGGGTCCCAACAATGGACACCGGACCTGCCGTGCGATGAGAGGTGTCTACCATGAGCCATATAATTATATTTGACTTGTTATGAGGAATCTATATGAGCATGATAATGTTATTAGATTAAGTTTTTCTAGTTTAAATTTTGTCACCTCCACCCAACTACCATAATTTCTTATAAGTTGAAAGAATTGTGATATTTAGCTTCCCGCCTACCGTACCTCGACGGTTTATCTGCGGCAAGTTGCACATGCCTTTGGTTTTACTTCCCTACTTGTTGTTCTAACTTGTAACCTTGATTAACGTTTTCATTATAGAATAACCATTTTTTACATGGGGAGGGGGGTGCACCGGTAGGGGGGAATATATCCAGTGATCCTTGCTGCGGATAGACCAACTTTTAAAATTTAATCCAAGTGTTAGAAAAACAATATATTTTGCTCAGTAAAAACATTTACCATGGGAGGCTGGGAACCATCGTAACCGTGTGGCAACCGATATGTTTACCCGATAACTAAATCCTTGACCCTGGCTCATTGGCTTGTTATCATCTTTGCCTTCCTGTCTCGTCGTGCCGCCACAACTTCTTGTTTACCTAGTCATCTCCCTCGTTGTCTCAAGGCATTTGGTGAGCTCCCTCTAGCGTTATTTTCCGGGATGCTCCAAGCCGACCAATGGCCTAATATTCTACCTACTAATATATCCAGTAACATATCATCAGATGCCTTCATTCGGCGACTGTGTGTGATTGATTTTGACAGTTTGTTGCCCTTGTCAAAACCGTCTTGAGATCTTTGGTCCTTCGAACTCCATAAGGCAGCCATCCTTGTTGTGCGGTGGCACTTGGTCATGAGAAGGGGCATAGTAGAAAAGAAAATAGCTTTCATCCAGGAATAGATCAACCTCTAGCTTGAAGGTACATCATCACATTGGTACGGAACAATGGATCATGTATGACCCAAAACAATACCACTAGAATCCGCGGTGATTAGGGGGTTTCAATGCAAAATATAATGAAAAACTTATAGAGCATATCAGTCGGTGGCTCCTTCGCTCCTATCACGACGACACGGGGTCTCCATCTGTGACGACACTTAATCTAAGACTATACGCTGCACATGGATTGGGACGGGAGCTTATCCCTCGCCGACAAACGGCCTCATCCTCCCCCTCCCCCTATTGCCATTATAGCGCCCGAGATTCCCCTCCTCTCCTCATGTGTGTGTCGACGCCTAGTTGCCTGACATCCTCCCCCTCTCCTTATGCGCTGGCACCACACGGTACATTTTCTTCTTCTCTTCCATTGACAAGGCCTCGTGCAACCTCTACCTCCTCTCCTCCATGATGCTAACTAGCCCTCCTTCGTCCTCGCCCCTCCCACGAGCGATGAGCGATTACGTAACCTTTTCCTCGTCCTAAATACCAGATCTACTTGAGGAGGAGGTGTTGGTCCTCCCGTATTGCGCCATGCCATCTTGTTAGAAGTATGTGCGCGCGTGTGTGTGTGTGTGTGCGTGTGTGTGTGTGTGTGTGTGTGGAGAGAGAGCACGCCGCCAGTGTCTCAACTAGATAAGGTTAGGTCATAAGATGAGCCGGGCTTATATAATGCCTAGGCGCAGGTACATGAGCAAATTGAAACGTGCGCGATGTCTGACTCACATTGCACAGACAACAGAAAACGCACGGGGCAAACCGGAACAACGGTGTGCAATGTGCTAAACAGGCCATTTTGGCTTTGCACTTTGTGGATGGACTGGCTAGCGCAAATGTGAGTACTTAATGTATCACACATTTGAGCCCTAAGCGGACCCCTTAACCGTCTAAAGCTTCAATGGTGGCCTCCTTGCATGGCATGTTTGATGCACGATTGATGAAGCACTCACAAGACGTCGTTTGTGAGCTATGTGGCGTGTGTGTTTCCGTGGTGGTGATAGTGGTCTAGTGGATTTACTCTATGCTCTTATAGGTGTTAGACAATAACGAGACAAAGAGATACGGATTTTTACGTAAAAACCCTTGCGGGAGAAAACCACGGACGCACGAAGGCGCAATCACTATAAGGAGGAGTATTACAAGCACGAGACGACAGGCCGTCTGAGATGCGATTACATGGGGTATATATGAGGGGCAACACATAGGAGTCCTTGTAGGACAAGTAAACGAGTTGTACTCGTACGCGTCATTACCAACGCAAAAGGCCCACACCGTATGTACTACGTCTAGTCCAATACGGTACTAGAATTTGGATCACAATTTAACAATCTCCATCTTGAGCCAAATTCCCTTCAGTAGTCGAAAAAAGTGAATAACTCCATCAAAATCAGTTTAAACACCTTGTGCGTCAAAGTCCATAGGACTAGTGAGAAATACCAACTAAGCCTGAGCAAAGCTCAAACTTATTGGTCGGAACTGGCTTTGTCATCATATCAGCAGGATTATCATGAGTACTTATCTTGCATACCTTCAAATCACCTTCAGCAACAACATCTCGAATATAGTGATATCTGACATCAATGTGCTTTGTTCTCTCATGATACATTGGATTCTTTATAAGATATATAGCACTTTGACTGTCACTAAATACGGTAGGGCAAGATAAGTCTCCACAAAGCTCAGTGTACAAACCTCTCAACCAGATAGCTTTTTTCATGCCTCAGAAATAGCCATATACTCGGCATCAGTAGTGGAACAAGCCACAATAGACTGCAAAGTTGCTCTCCAACTCACAGCACAACCACCAATGCTAAAAACATAACCTGTGAGTGATCTTCTCTTATCCAAATCACCAGCAAAATCAGAATCAACAAAACCAACAAGTCCATCTCCAGTTTTCCCAAATTGTAAATAAGCATTAGAAGTACCTCGCAGGTATCTGAAAATCCACTGAACTGCTCTCCAATGCTCTTTTCCAGGATTAGCCATGTATCTACTGACAACACTCAATGCATATGATAAATCCGGACGAGAACAAACCATGGCATACATAAGTGAACCAACTGCACTCGAATAAGGAACTCTATACATGTACTCAATATCTGCATCTGACTTAGGACATAAAGCTGATGATAATTTGAAGTGTGCAGCTAACGGAGTGCTTACTGGCTTGGCATTATGCATATTAAAACAACGAAGAACTTTATCAATATATCCCTTCTGACTTAGATATACTTTTCCAGACGGTCTATCTCTGGATATTTCCATGCCAAGTATTTTCTTTGCTGCACCCAAATCCTTCATCTCAAATTCATTACTCAATTGCTTCTTTAGTTCATTAATATCTGACATACTCTTTGCAGCAATAAGCATATCATCAACATAAAGGAGTAAATAAATAGTTGAACCTTTGACAATTTTGAAATAAACACAACTATCATAATTAGACCTTTTGAAACCTTGAGAGAGCATAAAGGTGTCAAATCTCTTGTACCACTGTCTTGGAGATTGCCTCAATCTATAAAGAGATTTCTTTAACTTACAGACAAGCTTTTCTTTTCCAGGAATAACAAAACCTTCAGGTTGTTGCATATAAATATCCTCTTCTAATTCTCCATGTAAAAATGCAGTTTTAACATCCAATTGTTCAAGCTCAAGATCATACATGGCAACAATACTGAGTAAAGTGCGAATAGAGCTATGCTTCACAACAGGAGAAAAGACTTCATTATAGTCAATACCTGGAATCTGATTGTAACCTTTAGCAACTAACCTTGCTTTATATATTGTCTCATCATTAGAAGAAACACCTTCTTTCCTCTTGAAAACCCACTTGCAACGAATAGGTTTCTTCTCTCTAGGCAATTTTACTAAATCCCAAGTGCCATTCTTTTCAAGTGATTCCATCCAATCATGCATAGCGGTCATCCACTTATTACTATCACCAGAAATAATAGCCTCAGAATATGAAGAAGGCTCGGAATTACCTTCAATTTCTTCTGCAATAGATAAAGCAAAAGAAACAATATTGCCCTCTTCAATTAACATATATGGTTTATTAATACCCCGCCTGACTCTGTCACGTGCGAGATTCCAACTAGGTGGAACAATAAGCTGATTTGGAGTGGGAGTGACATTATCATCATTAACGACGGGTTCATCATGTGCATCAACAATTTCATTACTAGGTGTATCACCTTTATCAATAACATGCTCCACCTGAACAGTAGGCTCCTGAACAATAGGTTGTTGTTCATTCTCAACGGGAACGTTAGTAGATGAAACATCATGTAACATAGAAGATTCATTAAAGATAACATTTCTGCTAATAACAACCTTCTGGGGTTCAGAATTCCACAATTTAAAACCTTTAACACTAGACTTATAACCAAGAAAGATGCACTTAACAGTCCTAGGCTCCAATTTTCCATTATCAACATGAGCATAAGCAGTGCAACCAAAAACTCTCAACTGTGAATAATCAGCAGGTGAACCAGACCATACCTCAATTGGAGTTTTCTTATTAAGAGCAATAGATGGTGAACGGTTAATGAGATAACAAGCAGTGGAAGCGGCCTCAGCCCAAAAACGCCTATGCAAACCTGCATTGGACAACATGCAACGAGCTCTGGAAATAATGGTCCTGTTCATACGCTCAGCAACACCGTTTTGTTGAGGAGTATAAGGAACGGTGTAGTATCTGACAATGTCTTCAGACTTGCAATAATTCTTAAATTGCTTAGAACAGAGTTCCATACCATTATCAATGCGAAGTATTTTCACCTTCTTTTCAGTCTGCCTTTCAATCATAATCTTCCACTCCTTAAATGCTGAGAATGCTTCATATTTATGCTTCAAGAAATAAGGCCAAACTTTTCTCGAATAATCATCAATAATAGTCAGCATGTAACTAGCACCACCTAGTGACTTTCTACGAGATGGTCCCCATAAATCAGAATGCACATAATCAAGAATACCTTCGGTTGTATGATTCGAAGTGTTGAACTTCACCCTCTTGTGTTTGCCGAAGATACAATGCTCACAAAGTTTCAGTTTACCAAGTTCATATCCATCAAGAAGACCTCTCTTATTTAACTCTGCCAAACCAAGTCC